CATGAGCTTCAAGAAAATGAAACTAAGTACCTTGAGTCTGTAGTAAAATTGTGCAGCCGTTAAAAATTTACAAACTTACATGTAGCAGGGAATAACTTTGCTCATAACGAAATAGTTAATATTTATAAAAAAAATAGATTCATATGTATATTTCTGCTTTGCCACCGAAACAGCTTGAACTGAGTTACTTGAAGTTTATAAACCAGCAAACCAATGTAATTTCAGTTTTTGAGGAAGATAAATCATTTTTATAAATAGGTGTGTTTCATGCACGAACGTGCGATTCGTTCTTATCGAACAACACTCTACACCTACACCTCTATATTTTGCCATTTTGCTGGAGTGAGAGAACTCCGCGCATTTTGTCGACTAGCTGCATGAATTTTTCTTTCCTTACATATGTAAATACATACTAGTACATAAATATATGTATATGTATGTACATACATCTAGTATGTTGGTATATAGTTTCTTGTGCTCATAAGCTTTACAGACCCTTGAGGCTACTTGTTGGCCTCAATTCCGTGTTGGGGCAGGTTCTTTTTAACACGCTTTATAAAACGCAGCTTCCTGCAGCTACTTGTGGCAGCAGCTACCACTTGCGAGAGTAACAGAGCGAACACCATTACCTCATTTGGTAATTTTGGTAGCCTAAAACTGCACCGCGAGGTAAACAACTGTAGTGAGGAGAGAGCAAAATAAAAAAGCAGTAATAAGGTTATTAAGCGCGAAAATAAACCAAGTTAAACACTTATAAATATGATTATTGAGCTAGGTGTAGTCAAGGCCGTTAAGTTGGCAGAGGATTTATTTATTTAGTTTGTACAAGTAAGAAGCAGTTAAGTAAACAAATTAACTACCAGTAGTTAGGCATATAGTACATACATATATACCTGTCTCTTATACACATCTAGATGTGTATAAGAGACAGGTGTAGTCAAGGCCGTTAAGTTGGCAGAGGATTTATTTATTTAGTTTGTACAAGTAAGAAGCAGTTAAGTAAACAAATTAACTACCAGTAGTTAGGCATATAGTACATACATATATACAACACTATTTCTCTAAAAAATACAGCAAATAGGAAATATTAAATAATACAAAAGCGAATGTTTTTCAATTAATGCAAGAATTTAGAAATAAGTTATGCCACAGATAATTTAGATAATATATAGTAAATATACATATTTGTACATATTATATTCCTAGATGCAATCCAACTGCCTTATTTTGCTCTGGCGTCGTAAACTCAGTGGCATTCTAATCGTTTCCAGTCTAGTGCTGTTTGCTCTTTGGACTTGGATATTTTTCATTTATAACAGCAGAGATGTTCAAATAGATGGTGAAATTAATGTTAGATTGCTGATATCGTTTAAAACATCAGTTAATATTTTACTTTGTTTAGCATCTTATACAAACCGATAATCCACAAAAGCACGTGTATTTTCTGCAAAAATTAATCTCGCAAGCAAATCGTATTCTACGCTATCAACAAAAGCAGCAGAACACTTCGTCTAGTGTCAATCACAAGTTGCTTCAAGCACGTCGTCCAACTGGTGGCATACCTGTGCCAGCAGCAGCGCATACCGGCAAAAACTCCGGCATAGTTCGCTTCGTCAAGCCAACCAAAAGCCCGCCTTCAATTGGCCAGTTAGAGACCACAGATCAGCCACTTTTATTCGGGTCGCGTCACAAAAAAATTGCCGTGTTTGGTGCCAACTATCTCTTCGAAGACGAACGTCTTAAAATACTTGAGAACCAGCAACGTGTGCGTAACGCCGGTATGGCGGAGATCCAGAACAGTATGGACTATGAACGCCTGCTTACATCAGCTGAGCGACAGACACAATATGAGCATGAACTATTACGATTGGGCGTGCCAACTATTGCAGGCATCGGACCGAATGGACCACGCCCGCCTAATGAGCGCCTCGTGCATCTAGATTTGAAGGGTGCGCCACCCAAGGTTTACCTTTCTCCAAATAAAAACGTTGCAATGCATTACACATTTTTGTTTTTTTTTAGCTCTCTTTTTTAAAACGACTGTTGCCGATGCTGAAAACATTAGGTGCTACTGGACTGCTAATTGAGTACGAAGATATGTTTCCTTACACTGGAATTTTACAAGCATTACCAGCTAAAAATGCTTATAAGGTGGAAGAATTGAAGGTGATTTAAAATTCTTCAACGTATTTGTTTATGGATTGGTTAGTTCAGTACCTTGATTGTTATTTTTTAAATTAAAGGACTTTCTGACAAGCGTTGTACTGCATGGCTTATCTGTTATGCCTCTGGTACAAACATTTGGACACATTGAGTTCGCCTTGAAGCTGCAAGAGTTTGAAAAGTTGCGTGAAATACCCGAAATCCCGCAATCTTTATGCCCAAGTCAAGATGATTCTATCATATTTATACAGAATATGTTGACGCAAATTATAGAGTTTCACCTAAGTATGGCCGATGCGGTCATGAACAGTAGCAGTACATCAGCTGGTGGAGCATCACCACACTCCACCGCGTTTACACATATCCATATTGGCTGTGATGAGGTGTTGCGTATGGGCGAGTGTTTGCGATGTCGACAACATAGCCGGCATGAAATTTTTCTTACCCACGTCACCACTATTTCCAATTTCGTAAGAACACGTTGGCCTCAACTTCAGGTGGTTATCTGGGATGATATGCTACGCGACATGATGCTAAGCGAAATGCAGCATGCTCATATTGGTAGCTACGTTGAGCCGATGGTTTGGGTATATGCCAATGATATTTACAGATTTATTCAGCCTCAATTATGGGACATGTATGCAAAAGTGTTTCCGACTATTTGGACGGCATCTGCTTTTAAAGGCGCATTTGGCGAGAGTTTAATGATACCGCCACTGCAACGTCATTTAGAAAATAATATGAGATGGTTAGCGGTCATTGCCAAAGAGAGTGGACGGTAAACCCATAATATTTTTGTATGTAAAATTGTTTTAAGTCTCTTGTGTATAGTTTCTCCAAAGGTATTCGCGGTCTAGCATTAACAGGATGGCAGCGTTACGACCACTTCGCAGTATTGTGCGAATTGTTTCCAGTCGGTATACCCAGCTTAATCACCTCGCTGTCTACTGTATCGAAAGGTTATTTCGTTACAAATCCGAAGGAGAACGATATATTGCGGGTACTGGAGTGTGCATTTCATCCGGATAGTCGGTGGGTAAAATGAACATATGCTATAATTATTTTTAATTAAATTTATATAATTTTTAGGCGGTCTGGACATCCGTGGATAGAGCTCCACCCGAACTCACACCATAGTCAGCTATTCTCTGCGTGTTCATATCCTGGCAGCATGGTTTATAAATATGCGTTGCGTCTATTTGAAAAGTTATCGGAGTTGCAGAATTATTTGTTGCATACACAGGACCGTAGTGCCTGGATGTCCGAATATAACGTGCGTCATAATTTCTCCTCGCCCTCACGTGTATACGAAGTGACTCACAATACTCCGCTCTACATTAATGAGTTAAGTGGCATGGCTAGAGAAGCATACGAGGTTATGTTTGATGTGTTTGATGAGGTATACAAGGTTGAAATGAAAATATATACATGTTTTATATAAATTTTTTCTCATTTCTTAGTACACCGTCGTCGAATTTGTTGAGCAAAATATTTATCCAATGATTGCCAGCTTGCAACGACAATTATTGGAAGGACAGAGATTGTTACAGCGACGCGTATGGCCACAACGCCCCCTTCCTTTTAGCGCTGAACTGGGTCAATTAAATTTGATTCCTGCTAACTTAATTAATGCAGACAAGATTTGCTCTAATGATATCAGCTGCGATAATGCGTCACTGCAGTAGCTTTATATATCATTTATAAACGCCTCAATAATTATATAAAGATTCTAGGAATCATATTTTATATTGCCTAAAACACTTTTTCTAAATATTTCAATTCAATGTTTAATGAACAATCACTGTTAACATTTTCTAAAATGCTTTGTAATAGTATTATACAAATGCATTTAATTAAAAAAAAAATATTTTACTTAATACAAAAAAGAAATTAAAAAATTGTACCAAGCGCTTTTACTTTTTCACTAGCCACGAGAAGTTGTGTTTCTTGGCAATTCTTTAAAATCTAGCTTTACTCTGGCGTTAATTCTGCATCCAAATTGACGTACAACAAAAAATCGATTTACATATTTTTAATATAATCGATTTACATAATTTTAAATTAAAAATATGTTTTTAAATTAAAAATATGTTTTTAAATTAAAAATATGTTTGTAAATTTTATTCTTCTTCTTGTAATACAGTTATTTTTCTCACGAGGTATTTCTCAGGTTTTGGTGCAAAAACGTTTATATGATGTGAGTAGGAACGTTGCTGTTTAATGAAACATTTGACATGATTAATGGAGAGGCGTCGGTGGTGTAATGGTTAGCATAGTTGCCTTCCAAGCAGTTGATCCGGGTTCGATTCCCGGCCGACGCACAGTTTTTTCCCTTAGTATTTTATTATAAATACATTTCAGATATATTTTCAGAATAATTTATATGCATACTTGTATAGTATACAATAAATTATTATCAATAAAAAAAATCAAAAATTAATAATTGGAAAGAAAAAATGTGTATCTCAAAGAAAGTGGTTCATGTTATGGAACTCTAATTTATTAATTATTATTGAATAAGAAATAATTGTGTTTTATTCAAATTGTTTAATTAAAAAATAAAATATGTAGACACATTTTCTTTCATCCGTACTCGTACAATCTTTAAGCCTAAAATTATGCAAGATCTTTTTATAAGTTCAACATTTATTTCAAATATTTGTTCTGATATGGCAGCGTTGGATAAAACGAAGGATAAGTATTATGAGTATACCGGAAATTGACATTACCAAAGGCATAAACGAAATGTATGTACATATTTCATTCTTGAAACTGACAGCCGCTTAGCATCCCTTCCTAAGCGGCCCGTACAGTTGTCAAATTTCAGCAGAGAAAATCGATGCGAGAAGTTCGCGAAAGCATTGAGAACGTCAAGTGGAGGATTGTAATTGTAACTGCAAGTATTCGTACGCAAACTGTCTTCATTGCATATTAGTTAAAGGCGAATTTTATAATAATATTGGCAACAAAATTAACTGCAATAATATAGAAACGATATATGTAAAAATTCGCAGTATAAAACACAGTAATCAACTATAAGTATTGTATTGTGAGGTCTACAGCATTCTAAGACCTTCTGCTTCTAATATTCTTTCAGTTTTGTATAGCCTTTGATTCTACTCGGAAAAGAGTTCTAAATATTATGGGAGTAACTGATAAAACTCCGGGAGATAGCGAATCTTGTTCTAAAATAACATTGGAAACATATCGGGAAATCTTTCGCGACTTAGAGCCGGAAGTAGAAATCGATGGATTTGAGGTATGGCACAAATTTATTCTAAACGATTCCATTAACGTACTCACATATCTAAATCTGTGTGTAATAAATTTGTACAATGTTCATAAGTAAATAAAAGTGTTTGTAAGCACAATTTGTATAATAAGACTCCAGATATGAATTTAATGTTACATCACAAGGTGGTAGCAGTTACCGCTCTGCAACCTCACACACTTCAAACATTCGATTGATTGGCTTAGTCAGTAGTGTGGTTAGAGAAATTAAATCTTTTTTAAGCAAGTAGTTCTTTCACTATTGGATACTTTGATTTCAATTGCTTTTGACATTGTTGTGTGCGGTTGTATTGCGGTTAATGCTGAAATTGTGGAAATATTGAATGCAGTGCAGTCAGACTATTTATATACATACATACATACATACAAACATACATATGTATGTACATATTTATGGACATGTGTATACAACATCTTTCTGTGTTGCTTTATTAAGCTGCACTTGTTCTAGATAATTATTTTTAATTGCTTCTGATCGGTAGGAGGAGCAGGGTTCTGGGCGCGGTGACAATTATACGGCGACAATATATCGCACACATCTAACTGGCCAACGACAAAGCTCAGCGGATGGTAAAAAACAAAAATGGGAAAAGAATTTAATTTGTAAGAGAATGCCGGAGAATGTACAACGTCGAGAAGCTTATAAAAGCGATAAGCTTTTTAGGTAAGTAATTGAATTTATATAAAAAAAATTATAAAAAAAACAATGTGCGTCGGCCGGGAATCGAACCCGGATCAACTGCTTGGAAGGCAACTATGCTAACCATTACACCAACGACGCCCCAATTTTATTGTTGTCTCTATGCTTATTTACACTAGGTGTAAACATGTCTAATATCAACACTTAATTTATTTTTGATTTTAAAGACTTAAATTATTTCTGATATATAATTTTGTTTAAAAAAAAAAAATTAATTGGAATTTTCCAAAACTATGTACATATATATATGTACGTAAGACATATGTATGTATTTATTTGATAACCATTTTGTATTTCAGAAATGAGGTGTTATTTTATACGGAAATAATGCCAGAACTGTTGAGATTTCAAGAGCACAAAACATCCAAAGTTTTTGGAGCCACTCCTAAATGTTACTATGCGCGTGATGATCTTCTCATAATGGGTATGGATAAGCTAGTGAAGAAATATGAACAATTAACTTTTTGACTTAACTTCAAACTTTTTCAGAGGACTTGCGCGTGCGCAACTTCCAAATGCCGGATCGCCAAAAGGGTTTAACTTTAGAAGAGACACACTTGGTGCTGAAAGAGATGGCTCAATTTCATGCCCTCAGTTTGTCTTATAAATTTGAAAATCCTGCTCATTTCGAACGACTGCGCGAACATATTACCGAAGGACTGTTTTGTTCCTCAAATGCGAATTGGTACAAAAATTACTATGAAAGGCTTACAAAGGATGCCATTAAAATGGTAAATATTGGAATATATAATTATTTATTCGAATGTATTCTATATTTACTAGCAATCTCTATCAACAGGTTTCTGATATCCTTCCGGAAGATTCCAAATATTTGGAAGCAATGAAAAAATTTGCGGGGTCTTCAACGTTCTTTTCCCAAATGGTTCATTTAGTCAGTGCGGAATCAACACTTTCTGCCATTTGTCACGGTGATTGTTGGGTCAACAATTTCCTCTATCGCTATGAATGTACCGGGGATAATACAGAACAAAAACGAGCCGTAGATGTGAGAGATGCATTTTTACCAATGTATTCATACAAATATTTAACTAATTACGCTCTTTTTAGATTTGCCTGGTAGATTTTCAACTGATTCGCTACAGTTCTATTGCATTGGATATAGCAAATTTATTATTTTGTTGTACCACAAAAGCAATGCGCGATGAACATTTAAACGGGTTTATTAAACTATATACATCAGAAGTTTTTGGTTGGCTCAAATTATTATGCACAAACATACCAGAAGTATGTGATACCACAGAAAAATTTGCAAAACTGTATGTATAATCAATTTCTTTTATTAAACTATTTCTTTAATATTCCCATTTTATGACTTATTCGTAGATTTGGCGTTGAATTGAAAGAATATGGACGTTTTGCACTAGGACTTGCAATGGACATTATACCTATGTCAACATGTTCGTCTGAAAATGCACCAGACATGTACTTAAATATGCACCATGATGACATAGAGGCCGGTGCACCAATCTTGAATTTTCCTCCAAACGATTTGTGTCGCGAAAAAATGTCTGATATCGTCATTGATATGGTCGATAGGGGCATGCTTTAATAATCTAAATTACCAGATTACAAAGGCTAACGGCGGCAGCACGTGTAACTTAATATAAAGATTACAACTGCAGATAAGCTTTCTTATAACGATTTTTGTTTATAGCGCAACCGTATATAAAATGATGTATGTATGTATTAAATTTATGTTGGTTACAAGTTAAAAAGCAAGCGTACATAGTATGTATATAATATAAGCTTATTTTAGTTATACAGTTCTCTAGAAATGTTCCAAATATGTGAAGCGCTAATTAATTTTTATTCCCATGATAATTTTATAAATGTAATTTAATACAGTAAAACGAGTAGATTGAGCGAGGCGACTGTAGTTATATTTTATAGATTCATATGTATGTAAGTGGGTGAATGAAAAAATATTAGTTGTAATCCAAAACCAAAGAATATTTCGAAAGCAATTCGCACACATTCACGCACTATGTACCGTAGCGACTTCTGTGAAAGTATTGCTATAATATTTCGATTTAGTTTAAGTACTCCTCAATAATGCAAAAATAAAGAGTAATGTCCGATTTGTAATGGAAAAATTGCACTGTAATTTCGCACGAATGGCTTTACTTTTATTTTTTTCGGAAAAATTTTTGTAATATACAATATTACCAAAAACTTCATACTGACAATAACAATTTGTAGCAATATTGTCGCTTGAATAGATTTATATTTAAAAGAAAATTGTTAATCGTTCCATACTTGTTCGACAACCACAAGTAAATGAAAACGGTATATACATAAATACGATTAAATAAATTTATCTGCTTAAAAAGAATGCATTAGCCATATTTGTATGTTAAATAATTGGCTGTCTAAATTATTTAATAATCTGCCTTTGCTGTCCAACTGGATTTAGTGGTCAAATTTCCTTTATCGGAATTGTTGCGCAGAAATCGTAAACCGGCTTCAATTGATTTCTCTAGTTCATTGTTGGATTTTGGCTTTTTAGTTTGCGGTGGCGAAACATAATCTAAGTCAACAGGTGGCGCTATGTTAACTCCTAACCGTTCCGGTTCTGTGGCCTCTGCACAGTAGCTGCGACAATGAAATCTCTTATCAATTTTCGATGACTGATAATTAGCGAAATTTTCAGTTGTAGAATATTTATCATTGTTGGAGCTGTTCATGACACTATGTTCTTCTGGTGGAGGCATACTGGTGAAATTTTTACGTTTTGGCTGCAATTGTTTCTGAACTCGTGGATTGTTAGTGGGCGCAAATTCTGTTATACGTTCAGATCTTTTCTTCTCATTCCACTGCTCTTGAGACATTGGCAATTTTTCTGGCTTATAGGACCATTTTGGTTCTTGCTCATTTTGGCTGTCATCTTTAGCTAAATTACTACTTTCTCTGAATATTTTTTCCTTATCCCACGGGCGAAGATGATTCTGACGTTCCAACTCCCTTTCTTTTTCATACTTTTCTTGTTTTCGTCTATTTTTTTCTTCTTTTTTTCTAGCTCTGCGCTCCTCCTTAGTCTCTTTTTGTTTAATTGCATCTTCTTCCCTTTCTTCAACTTTTTCAAGTGGAGGCAACCCGAGACGAGCCCGTTGCCTATTTTTAGCTGCAAACACGCGTTCTGCAATGATTTTTTCCCGCTGAGTGCGGAGCTGTTCCCGACGGTTCTGCTCTTCAATGGTGCCTTTTCTTATTTCTTCCAATTCTTTTTGTTGCTTTTTACGTTCTTCTTCATCGGTGGAGAAGGTATAATAACCGACACCGTGTTGCCTAGCCTCATCAAAGAATACATCCTGGTAGTGCACATCTATCTTGTCGAGATTTTCTTGCTCTTTGCGCTCCCAGTTAGCCCTTTGTTCATCATGTTTGGACATTAAGGAAATCCCGTCACCGAATAAACTCTCACATGGCATGGGACCGAAAGGTGCATCTTCATCCAGTTTTGCTGTATCCGTGTCTTTCGTATTTATCATCCAATTAGCTTTAGATTGGTCCAAACGTTCTGGCATAGTAGCTGCCAATTCAGCATCTCTTTTTTTTATGGTTTCCAAATCTTCCAGTAGACATTTTCTAGTACGCCCTAAACAATCTGTATATTCGACCCAATCCTCTTCTTCATCCGATTCATCCTCACTTTCACTTTCGCTTTTTTTAGCATCGTTTTCTGTACATTGCTCATCATATCTGTTGGCATTGTTATTGTCTTTGCATTCTTCTTGGTGCTTGCGATTAAATAACACTAAGCAGTTATCATCTGAATTTAATAGTCCTCCAGTGCGTGTCATGCGTTCATAGAACTTGCTTTTTGCTTCCAGCACGCGTTTTGACTTTTCCACCAACTCGGTATCTTCGTACTCGTAAACAGTAACATCCTCACTTGATTCCACTTCTTTTGTTTGAGACTTTTTATATTTTTTATTGCTTAGAGCATCTTCCGTGGCAGCGTTGTTATTAATGAATGTTTGCAATTTTTTAGCAGTATATTCACTCGGCTGAGTTTGAGCTTGGGCAGTTTTTGCTTTGCTTACCTCTGCCTGTTTACGTAATAGCTCAGCTTTTAAACTTAAAAGCGATGATAAATTCACGTTAATAGCTTTGTTAGGATCATTCATCTTTTGTTATTAATGTTACTTGTAAAATTAACCAGTGTCAGATATGAAATTGACGAAATCAGCTGTCGTTGCCACATACAATAATACTAAAGAATTAAATTCTATTTATTAAAACCAACGATAAAGTTGCTTAAACCAACTATTGAAAACTTCATTGCATAATATTTTTATTAACGAATTTTAGTCTACAAAATAACATTAATAAACTATTGCATTTTTGTTTGATTTTGGGGTTTTTTTAACTTAGTGGCAACCAAAATTTTACATTTTATTAAACACCTGTTTTCGTAAATATTTACGAATGGAAGTGAAATAAAATTAGATGACAATTTGACTCGCTATTTACAAGAAAGGACTTACAGTGTTAAATAATAAAACTTTAAATAAAATCAAAATTTTTGTAATTATTTACCATATATTTTTTATGAGATAGTACTTAAATATATAATTTATTAATTAATAGAAAAATTTCAATAATTCTGAAAATTTAGGAATTTTCTTTCAGACTTTAATTTCAGTAATGTGTAACGTAATTAATTGTTTATAACGCGGGTATTATTTGTTGAGTAACAAAATTCTACTATATTAGCAACATTTTCTAATGCCTCAGATATTGGTAAAAAACGTTTCTTTGAATATTCAAAAAAAACTTGCAAAATTTCAATGTTATAGCCTTCACTGTATTTTCAAATTATGCATGCCTTTAGTTGCTCGTACTTTTGTGACATTTATTTTTGCCTATGCTTTTCTTGCAACTTTTGCCGTATGCTCCTTTACTTTCGGCTAGGTCCAATTCGGTTAAAAAGATTTAATTTTATCAATATCATAGATAAAAATTAAGTAATAACTCAAAAATTCTGCGCAAAGGACTATCACATAAAAGTAATACGTGAGACACACACAATAACAACATAAAGAGACAAAAAGAGAGACATTTGATGGAAAAATGTGTTTTGTAGCAGCAAATTGACATATATATTTGGAATATTTTCGGGGGAAATTTAGCAATTGAAAAGGCTTAAAATAATTTAGCCATTATTAAACAAAATATCATTGAAAAAATATTTACGGTAGTTTCCGTAAAACTATCACCACATTGGCTTTCGTAATAATCAAAAAAGCACGATCCGACTACATGCATTTGTAAGAACTTATGACCATAGGTTGTGTAAAAAGTGTTCGAAGTTGAGGACTAAACTACGATTGATAAATTAAAAAGGTGTTGAATTTCAAGTAATTTTTAAATAAAACGGATATATAAAGCCTAGTGTGATTACAAAGTAAAGATGTCGCAACAAGTGCATGACGCTACCGTCTTTGAGAGACGGTTGCGCCCAATATATGGTAAGCGATTTATGGCACGTGTGAGTAACAACAGCATGTGGAAGAATTTCCATATAAGGAAAAAAATTTGCCAAAATTTTTAATTGAAACAAACATTTTCATTGAAATTTTTAGATAGTTTGGAAGTTGGGAATAACCGAAAAGCTCTTCAAGAAACGGAAAAACTTCTAAAAAAGCATCCAAATATGTGGTGTGCGCGAGCATTGAAAGCGTTAGCATTACTTCGATTGGGGCGATATGAAGAGAGTCAGATCGTTTTAAAAACTGTGAGCAATGAGAAACCGGTAGATGATCCAACATTACAGGTGTTATCATTTTGCTATAAAGAATTGGAACAACGTAAGTATATATAATAATATATTTTTCCATGAGAGTATATACTATGTATGTAAATGTTCTCTTGAAAAAATATAAAAAAGTATTTAATAACAATGTTTTTTTTTTAAGTTTTATTTTTTGGAAGGAAATTATTTTATTCTTATATATAAAAATGAGCAAGAGGGCACTATCTGTCTGGGCTTGCGACTTTCAAACTCTTATTTTATTATAATGCATGTATGTATATCCATTAGAGCTATGAACTTATAATAAGCTGTCATTAAAATGATATTCATTTATATATCTTTTTTAGTATACCCTAATGTATATATACACATACATTCATTATCATTAAATGTAAGCAAAAAAATTGCCAAGCACCCAAATGGAATGTGTAGATGGTTTTTGATTCTGATCTACATATGTATATACTATATATATACTACACGCTTGTAAACGCATAAGTGTGGATTCTTTATTTTTATACTGTATTCACCGCACAGCATAACATAACATCGAGTTAGCAGAAAAAAATTTAGTTTTTAGGAAAAATTTGTATAAAATTTTTTAAATGCTTACTCTTAAAGGCTAATTGATGTTCAAATATTTTTAATTGTACAATACATACCCATATAAAAACTCTAGAATCAGTCAGTCAATTCGCAATGCCTAGAAAGTTTCACAAAACAATTTAACCGAATACTTTGTTGGTAGCGTTCCACGCAATTACATATTCACAGAAATTTGGTTGCACTCATTAAAATATAATTTTAGTTTTTTGTCTGCCGCCAAATGCACATTATTCATATTGGGCATGCGACAAAATTCATATAGCCAAAAGTATAGACGACCATTGCCGTGATACCGCACTACATATCATAAGTACCACGGATGCTAGAGAAAAAATATTATTTAATAAAACGTTTAATTATTAAGAGGGTGGAGATAAGCTACATATAATCTTTAGTCATAAATCAGATTCATAATAATGGTAATATGTACATATTTTTTAATTTACAGTGGACAAGATTGTATATTTGTATAATAATGCCGTAAAACAATCACCCGGTAATGAGGAACTATTAGCCCATCTTTTTATATCTCATGTGCGGTTGGAGGATTTTAAATCGCAGCAATCTGTTGCGCTGCAATTATATAAAGCCCAACCAAAGACGGCGTATTATTTTTGGGCTGTAATGAGTGTTGTTCT